GGTAACCGTGAAGGAGACTATTCAAAATCAATTTCTTTCTTCACAGATGTACTTAGCAGCATTTTCTCTTTTGCACATGAGAATGAATCTCTAATGGTGTCATATGCACTTTAAGCAACAGAAAAGTTGTTTGATATATTACAGCTATATRTCTACTAACATCCATGTGGATTTTCACACGCATGCAGTCTTTCTTCGTCGTCACCTATGCAAAAAAAAGAAGATAAATAAATGAAATAAAATAAATAAATAAAGTGAAAACAAAACAAGGCAAAAGACAAGAAATGAAAACAAAAAAATCCAGTTTTTCGCTAAAATTAGAATTCTAGTGAACTGGATCTAAGCTGGTTCAACGACCAAATRATAGATAGAAATGGAGTTTCTGATTGAGTGGAGGTATAGTCTGTTTAAGCAGCACGCTCCCCTGCGTTTCAATCAATGTTGTTCTATTTTAATCACATTACTGATCTTTACTTTCATGATAATCAACGATAAAATATCAAACACACATCACAWTGTTGATACAACGTTGATAACACATCAATGTGTAATCAATCTCCCATCCATCACACCAACCACGCCCTCATGTCGTCATTTGGAATGAGCTAACGGCGTATTTTTCTTCAACCTGTGCATGGAAAACAAACAAGAGATAACTAAAATGCCTGAGGGAAGCAAAGTATTAATAAAATATATGTGAACTTTTRTTTAGGAAGAAATCTGTAGTAATTTTGCCGTTATAATGCTAACATCGTAAAAAATTAGTTACTTTTCCTTAGTTAACAAAATCGTGTCGCGAAAGTGAGTACTKCCTACTTCATAGTTATTTCATCTCAGATGATATCAGGCCCAAGCCTTAGCGAGACTTCCATGATACGGCTGTCGGTAACCGGCGGGGTCTGTTATTTGCAAGTTTGTAACAGGGACTTTAGATACTCCATATCCGTGTACGATTGAATAGCTTGTACGTGTACTAGTGACCTAACCCCTAACTATAAATCCGGGTAAACTACTTCTTACACCRGAGAAACGGGTAGGTTACCGGTCAGACTTGGGAAGTCAGGGCCGTCTCGTCAAATGCCGCGATAAGCGTTGATCACATTTATCCGTAGGACGAAACGGTATATTTGAGGTCTCTTAGTTGCCACTTAAACAACATGGAAGAGTCAACCCAAAGTCCGCCATTTTGCTTTCCCCGCGAGGAATGAACGACTCAAACGAAACTGCTAGACATGAAAAATTAGATTGCGAAAAAAATACGACCCAGCAAAAGAGGAATTCCGAGAGGTTTTTGATTGGCTCACTGTTGGCTCCGTTGTGTTATTGTACTAAGTTTTCGAGTAATAAAGGTCCTTTCATTCGTGTGTGTTTTTTTTAACGTAATTCGCGCACTTTCTAGAAGGTACTCTATGTCTGGAAAACCGGTTATTGTGTCGCTTCGTTAATACACAAGAGTTATTAATGCATACAGTTTTTGACATTTTCCAGTTCAAAACAATTAACCACACTCACTCCGAGAAAAGAGTGAGCAATGTGTTAGAATTGCAGCTGAGAACAGATCACAACGACTAAGACCTAAAATAACTAATGTTGCCTGAAAACACAGAAAACTGTGCGTATTACTGTCAGACTCGATTGAGAATTAACACAAATCAATTCTTTTTGATTGTGAATAATACCGTTGTATAGCTGTCGTGAAGATCAGAGTAACCAGATCAAACACAGTACTTTCTGTCAAAAACATATGTCAAGGTGTCTTAGACCTATTAAACTGAGCGCAAAGCACAAAACCAGAATAATTCATTAGAATCTCAAGAGTCATTGTTATGTAGAAACCCATCCATGAAGCTCATCCCAATCATCCCGCCATACAGGTAATACCACTACGGAAATTACCTCGAATTGAAAACATTCGTCGATCAWAGAAAAAAACCCAGAGATCGGGACAATGAACAAYCAAGTAATGTCAAGGATGAGTGGCGTTTTTTCGTGAAGAAATCCCATCACTTTCAGGTAACTCCTTGCCACGAGATGCGAGATAAATTGCAGTCTTTGAATGAATTATTCTTTTAGTATAGTCAACTCAAAGGTTAATTTCATTTCAATTCTTACGAACTGTTTTCATGTATAAAATAATTAGATCGCACTCGTCAATTATTATAATTAGTTTCCAGCTGAGCCTCTTCATTTTCGTTGTCTTTATTCTCATTGATTGATGTGAAATTGCTCATCGTTTTATTTTCTTCGAGGCGGCACTGATTTTTGAGAAAGTAATCCAAGGTATATTCCAGGGCGAAAAGGTAAATTACGCGCTATTTGATTAAGTACGTCACGCACCATCTCACTTGACATGCGTTGTTATTGATCATCAATTTGTAGGTCGGGGGGTCCATGGTAAAATCCCTAACATATCATCACACCGGTAAGTTCGTCTCTCCTCTTCATTGCTCATGTATTCTGTCCTTACGGTATCCATTCATAAGGGATTCATCGTGTCGTAATCACATGTAAGGGTTGCATTAGTCGTCCGTCATACTAGTACCTTTGAAATGTCTCTGAATTCCTCTTTCTTTTATCAGCGGATGTTGGTGATGACTTGAGGCAGCAAAGAGTCGTARCAGGCAGGCTTTCTTGGGCATCGCCGTGGCATAAGCTGCACATGTTCGTGATTAAAGCTTTTACGGCCGAAAGTTTGTGCTCAATGAAGTGGATTTCTTATGCCGCTTACAGCGAGAACTTTACTCCAATGGACTACTAGCCTCTTGGGGACAACGTACAGATCTTCTCGTAGGACTAAAACCCAAGGTTGGCAGTTGTGGGGTTTCGCGTACTCGCTCGCTTGTTTATTGATTTTCGATAGAATGGTTCTTGGTTGTTGTCTCTGTACAAATACTAGTTATGTTTACAAAAAAWCAGGATCAAACGATTCATGTGGATCTCATGTGGTATTATCATCAGTGTCTGAATTCTGTGACTGCTTGGATAATTTTGATAACGACGAAAAACGCAAACGTTTCTTGGAGAGTTACCACTTAAAGTTCTGCGATATTCTTCCCTTTTGGAACGAATTGGCTGTTTTTAAGAACAAATGCACAGAAAAATTAAACAAGATTGTTGAAGCAGACTGTGCTGCATCTCAAGACAACAGCAAGTTTGAAGCCATCGTTAGTCGTATTGACTGTGGGCAGAGATACTCTGTGCGCTGGACCTGCCAGGATTGTAAGGTTAGCGCTGTGTAATAGTATGATGTAGTTCAATTCTTGTTTATATTTCTCTAGGAGTGCGAGTTTGTTGTGAGTCCTTCAACGAAGGGACTCTTGACTAATGGTCGACAATGACAATGAGCAGCAAACTCCACACTACTAGAAAAAAACGTCACAGACCTCAAATTGTGCTAGTTCACTTGAGAAGTACCCGCCAAATGAAGGAATTTTTTTATTGCTATTATAATGTGGTTTTCAACACGAACAGAAGCTCTTTCACCAAGAGACTCGCCTTTGTCAGGCGATGTTAATTTGTCCACCTCTAGGTTTTGTGTTGAGAAAATCTTATTTGCCTACTAGAAGCCGATGAATAGCTTAATAATGACACAGAGAGATTAAAGAGCTGTTTATTCGAAACAAAGTTTTTCAAATGTCAACCGTATGGTCGAGGTTAAAATCATCTAGTTTGTCAGATGAAATCTGTATGGTAGATTACCGGTACTCAGTGTACTCACTGCAGATCGTACTACAACTATCATGTATAGGGCAGGTGGGTTCTAACACTCTGAAGGCAAAAAATCAATGCCGAAATAAGGTTCTGTAATGATTGATAAATTTCGAATGCAGTGTCGTTGGTTAGCCTGATTATATAGAGCGAATTCTATCTTGATCGCTAATGTTTATGAATGTTGATTCTTTATACTGCAAGGCGATCATRTTGACCGACTCAGTTTACTTCCCTAGTGGCAAATTGTTTGATTTTTCGAGCCCCTAGACCGATCATTAATGGATATTAATGCTCTGCAAATACTTGATTTATGCGTTTGCCATTTCCGAATCAATGCTTTATTCATTTTAACCGATGTAAAATTGATGTTCATTCAAAGCCGATATTATTCCTAAAAATATTTGCTTTAAAGATACGAGTCGTTCTTCGAATGTACTGCATACCAATTCCCCGAGGATTTGACCGCTCATGCAACCTTCATTCTTGAAATTCTAGTTAGGGATCTAGCACCGGTAGACATGTTCTTATTAATAATAGCAATTCCTGTTAAGAACAATATTTTTTTCATTCCAAGGCTGAATTTTGGAATTCCTTTTGCGGATATTCGACACGATTAGATTTAACGCAGTTTTGAACGCTTTTTGGCACCAATCAAGATTTTGGCATAAGAAAAAGACCCAAAGATTTATATTTAGTAAAACACGGTTTTTTTTGTCATTTGATAACATGATTTAGGGATCATTACCGTTATTCTATCGTAATGTATGAAAAGGGAACGAAAAATCATCTAAAATTGAGCACGATGACAGTACGCCTTTATGGATACTTATATCTAAGTGAATAGTTTTAGGTTTTTGTGGTGAACGATGTGGAGATCTCTCGTGAAATCAGGTTCGCGATAAGAAAGCCATTACTGCATGCATTGGTTTCTTTGTAAGGTGCACAAGCACCGCTGATATCCATTCTATTGAGACTGTTACTACATCATTCTGTTTCCAAAATGACTTGTCAGGAGATTTAATTTAGTGTTCTGTATTCGCATCACTTATGACATGAACAGCTGTTAATGCCAAGAAGAAGAATAATCAAACATGTTAGAACTGTCAAGATAGAGTAGTGTAATAAAGCTGAAGGCTGAGGAAAGAAGATAGTCACACTAATCATAACAGATAAAACAAGAAACCGAATTGTGGTTCAAAAATGACTGCGATACGGCTTACACGTTGATGTTAAAAAGTTATTTGCTTTGTGGTTGTCTGGTAACCTTGAGAACGGTTTTTTCCTCACTCTCTGTCGATGAGTTTCTCGTGAATTCATTGATCTCCATAAACGATGATTCATTGTTCTTTGGTAAATAAAGATTGGTTTTATGAAAGCATGATGTTGTTTTCACAACAGATGCTATGTAAACAAAGTCATCACAGAAATAAGTAATTTGCATGTTGATATTCGCTTTCGTAAAATGAGACTAAAAAAATTCATCTTTTACAAGATTTGCACCAACGATCGAACTTTTCCTCGTTTCTTTCAAATAGATCAAATAACAAAATTTCTCAAATAGTAGTCATTAGAAAGTAGTGAATGTAGCGTCAATATTTTACACTCGCTGTCATCATTAATATATAAAGTTATTCATCAAACATATGTAAAATTTAATAAGTCACAAAGCAGGAAGGAATAGTCACAAAAGGTTGTTAAAATGCCAACTATAATTACTGTAATTAATTTGAACTATTTGCAATTGTAATACAAAAATTGCATCAATTTGTATTGATCGTTTTTAGCAAATTATTCCTTTATTAGTTGTGTAAACAAATTAAAAGTGCAACATTTTTGAAGATTTTAACACTTTTTGAGTTCAAACACTGAAAACTTGTTTATAACTAGCTTTGTAGCTTTTTTATACACAGTTTAAAATAACCAAAAAAATAATGAAGAAGGAATTGAGTGTGGATAATTTGCACTTACCACCGATTTGTTGCTTGAATACAGTTGATCATTCTGATCATGTGAAATATTTATTTTTGAATAAACTACCTAAGTCTATTGTTCTTTTAAAAAGATTGAATTTCTCATTAATGTCACGGGCTATCCATATTTATTTTTGCAAGTAATCTACTCATGTTGCATTTGTGCACCACAGGAAACCCAGAATCCAGATATTCTAATTCAAGCCACATGTTTAATCAACATTACACATTAATAAGATACACCTGCTTCAGTCAATATATATTCTTATCCCACTTAGCTTACTATGGCTTTTATACTTCCAAATCTCGGTTCCTATACAAATGTGGTAACAGTGTGAACATATTGAAATACATTTTTCTAACACGCATGTCCATCTTGCTCTATAATGACAATTGGCAAACCCTGAGACAGAATAAGAAACAATCTCTTGTTGTAGATGTGGTCAGAGTGGCCTAATTGGTTACCCCGATATCATTTTATTAGTAGTAACTTAATGAGAAAAGTCTATTGCTGAACTCAAATGCACACAGAATGGCAGATAAACCTGAGTGTAATGTAATAAAATCATCTAGAATAATTATTGACAGAATATTTAGTGATTGTATTTATGAAATGTGGCTTTAGTTGAGTTTGGATTCAATGCTTCAAGTACTAGAATACAATAAATGCAAAAACAGTAGGAAAGTCCTGTTCAATGTAACAGATTTCTGCCTTCAAAAGCAAACTTAGGAAACCTTAGGGATTACTGGATGCATTTTAATGTCTTACTGTCAATGGCCCTCATTCACACCCTTGGATCTAAGTAGTTCATGTTAAATACTCATTTTAAACTTCCAAGGAGAGACAAGCTGTTTGTTGTTATACATTAGCCTATTAACACAGGTATTTTTCCAAAATATCAAATATCACTAACACAGTTGTTTTTTATCCAGATTGCGTATAAAGAGTTTTTATGTACAAGTAAAGTATTGCCATTAATGTTAACTAACAACAAGAAAGCATGTACTTTGGCTTCCTGCACAAAAGTATTACAGAGGTGTCCTTATTTCCTACCTAATTCAGACAGCCAATGGAGTGGACAGTCAGTCTTTGAATGTAACCTTGATGAGGAAGGTTAGAAAACAAATAAATCATACTTATTGACTCTGTTTTGCTTTTTAAAACAATTCTACCAAAATCATGTTGAGAAAATTTTATTGTGTTCAGTCAGAAATTGCCAAAATTCTGACTGCTAGCWTATAAATAATGATATTGTATTCATGTGTGTGATTTCTTGCGATTTTTCCTCTTTACTAACTACGTAAACTTATAAATAAATCAAACTCTTTGAAATTACACTAATTTATAGGACCATTCAAACTAATTTTCCAATTAAACAGCAAGTGAAAGGTTTTATTTTGAAATATATTTACTCATGATTTCTTAAAAAAACTGTTGTACAATATGCGTGTAATACAATAATATAAATAGATATTTAAAAAAAACATTTTCATGGGAAAAGAGACTAGTTGAATTGATTTTCATTTGAATTTCAAAAATTGATATTTTTATATGATTATTTTTATATGATAATTTTATTTTTCTTTCAGATGCAAGCCATTGCATTAATGCCTTGTCAAGTAAGGACTACAATAGTCAGACAAATGGAAGCTAGCATTTGCAGTATTTGATATTCTAGATTATTTTACATTACATATTGCTCTTATTGTTGTATATATAACCAAAGAAATAATCCTATCATCAATTGTTTGAACTAGTGGATACATCCAAATATGCTTTTATCTGTTTGAGCGCTTACTAGAATAGATGAAACAAAACAAAATAGAAAGAAATGAATTAACATAACAAAATGGGAAATCTTGATATATAGCAAAACAAACGAAAACAAAGGTAGACATGTAAACGAGTGACGTTGGTGTGCACAATCTGTTAAATATTGTGCTGTAGGCAGCCCAGCTGTAAACATGCTGAAATTGTGAAGTATTCGAGCTTCTACCAGATTGTAATATAATAGTTTCTTTTCATCCACCAAGGATATCAAATGACATGTATTTCTGTACAAGGCGATTAGTTATAAAACTTACTCAGCTAGTGACTGATAAACAGCCTTGATGAGAACAAAAGTTTTTGCTCACTACCTCACTCATGACTTGAAAAAGTATAATTTCCTATACAGTAAACATTTTGGAATAATAAAGCTATCCAAACTTGGCATACCAGCCACTGTAACTCAGATATGAACCTTTCATTACTGGATCAAGTTCCGAACTGTTTCTTTAAATAAATATATGCACAAAATCTTTCAAATTCTACAATGGAAGGATCAGAAAATCACCTAACTTGTCTAGTAATTGCCTTGTACAGCAAAACTGTCATATGATATTGTATGCTTTGTTGGTGAAACAAACATTTATCATTTTACAATCTGGATCTCTTTGTTTTCATTTTTTTTTTATTTTGCTAAATATGGATTTCCCACTGTTAATTCATCTCTTTTCCATTTCATTTTGTCAATTCTAGTAAGCCTGTTTGAGACATACAATAGTGTTGAGTTAATAGTTATACAGTCAGTATTATTATTTACATTGTCCTCTTTAAGATTATGAAGACAAGAAAATAAGCTGAAAATCAGACGTGACCTTGCTGCAGTTACAGTTTGAATCAGTTGCTTATAGCTGGGTGCCTTTTACCAAAGACAAACATGTACTGAAATTTTGTGAACTTTTTAGCGTTATGTTCTCTGGACAGTGATAATAAGATTGACAGTATCATCCAAAATAATGTTATCCAATTGGAAAAAGCCCAGATGTTGCTTCATTGTGACTCAACATTAAAGAAACTGAAGGCCCAGTTTGTGAGATCAATGTTCAAAATATCTGCAAGAACAGACTAGTAATTTTGAGCTGAATTTCCGAAAGCAAAGTTAGATTAACTAGTAGTTTAGGTCTTTTATCCTTTTACAATATCCCCATAGAATCTATTCTTTTATCACAATTTATTTTAATAGAATGTGTAATGGCTACTTATTTCTTCTTTGGAACAAATTCTGGTCAACTTTACCTCTTATTGGAAATCATATTTTGTGATAGAACTGTTTACATTTGTACTGTTTGTACAAATATCATGCACATATTCTTACAGCTATTCCCAAAATGTATTAGTTTAGTGTGTTAAACAGTATTTCTACTACAACATACCAGAACAATTTCATTGTAAATTTCTACTCTTTTATTTGATCATAAAGATTTAGTAGTTAGAAAATGAGTTTATTCTCCATTACTAAATCTACTTATAGAAATGTTTATACTAATCATCATGGCATAACTTTAAAGTTGTTATTTTATAATATTGCAAATATTATTGTACACTTTACAGCAGTTCCCAAGAAAACACCTTAACATTTGTTTGAAATCATCCTGATCAATGACACACATCGAAAAAACAGTTAACTGATATGGCAAAGAGATAACTTATATTAGCTTTAATAATTTCTAAAATTTTATAACAAAATGTTGTGTTGTGATAATTAACAGCTGAAAAAGGAGCTACTTATCTTTCAATTATTTTTCCAAAGTGCATTTTCCTAATTCAAGTACTTAATAGAACTATTTAAAAACTCATAAAATAAAAAGTGATGAAGTGAAAGTTGATTTTTAGAATGTAGTTTTCCACAGCTATTAGCGTAGTTCTGACATGGTTGTTCATTACAAGCAAAATAATATAAACCCCTTATTGGGGAATATAATAAAATAAATGGAAAGATCCTAGGCCCTGATCATGAGGCTTTGTTATAGAAGATTGGGTTTCCATTTTCTCCTATGCCTTGATAATTAATTAATTGAATGRTTTATAGCACATTCTGCTAAAATGTAATTATATTTTTTAACCATCCATAATAACATAGTATAGATAAATATAAGCTAACATGTTAAGATGATAATAACAGTTGTGAAATGTGACTTGTTGAGTAATTTAACCCCCATTGTTTGTTAGATATAGCAAAACATGTTTGTAAACTTATGAAACACTATAAACTAAAACTTAAACATTATATTTGTACAACTTTGTTTGCTTTTGCAATTCAATGTAATTTCAGTGTACTCAGGGATAGTACTGTGCACTTTGAGTATGTTATTACAAGCTATAGCTTCTTGCATCATCCAAACACTTCTATTTTCTCTTTTTGCAGCTATAAAAGCCTATCGTTTTCTGATAAAAAACAACAATTATCATTTATTCAMAGTATAAACTTGTTTAGCAATTCCCAAGGTCTTTTATTCAAACAATTTACTCATAAATTATAAAGATATTTGAAGACATTGTTTATGTTTTGAATAGATAATAGAACAATTATTAGATTCATAGATTAAATGTCATTCAGATTTCTGCACACCATCTTGAAAATTAGTCTTGCTTTTGCATTGCAGAAAGATAACTGGTAAGCAGCTTTTTTCACACCTAAATACATTGTTTGCACGTCTCACTTCAATGCAAAGGTTTCTTTTTAAGAGGGTGTATTTACTTTGAGGGTGTATTAGCACAATGGAGACTACAGAGTCATAAAAGCCTATATAGCCATCCTGCATAATACTTTAAGTTGGTTTCCACTACTAAGTTTATTACTGTCAACCAATTGTTTATTATAAACAGAGTTTGTTTTAAGTGTCTTATGATAAATAAAGTGGGAATATTGGAAGTGACTCTTATTATTTTCTCATTTAACTTAAGTCTAAATTAGTGAGAAACCATAGATTCATGTTAAAAGTTCATCCAGCATTTCATCAGAATAATCCATTCAATATTTAGTTATCAGCAAGATATTTGACACAAAAATCAATACATAAGCTTGTTTTCATCAACAGCAAGAAAAATGGCCGGTCAAAGTTTAAATAATACGAAGACTACTTTAACTACACCCGAGTGTCTTCTTACGAAAATGACAGTATACGGATATTAAGCTTARTGAATGCACTCTATCATTGCCCTTAGAAGATAACAATACCAAGGTATTTGACGAAATTCACGTCAGCTTACAGTCAGAAACAAGCACAGAGAATTTTTTTTACAAAAGTCTTATTACATTGATATGCAAATGCGCGTGCAGTTTYGACTAATAAACGTACTCAATTTAGAAGTGAAAAAAGCCTTTTTTTATAACTAGTGTGAATAGCGAAAATCATTAAAGCTGTGACTTACCTGGCAAAGCTGTCAAAACTTTCTTTTTTCTCCCCAGTTGCATGCTTTTCACAAATTTCCGTCTTTGAGGACTTGTACTGATATTCTGGCGCCAAATTGGCTAACGCATGCGCATAATGTGGGCTATCAAAACATGTGACCTGAAAATTTCTCGCATTTCAACTTTTTCAAGTGATTTTAGACCTTTCATGGTAAAAATAAAATAATTAATTCTTCTTGTACGTCTGAGTTTACTTTTTTGTTGTTAAAGAAAAAAAAAGATTAATAGGAGACCACAAGACGGGGAGTGGGGGTGGATTTCCGCCGCCAAAATAATATTTCTCCTATTTTTTTTATTTGCTCTTAAGAAAATTGGAAAAAAGTAATATCAGTAATGTTATTTTGACCTGTCCAATAATATTTTCATAGATATTCACTGCATAAAAGATGTTCTCAAAGCCCTTGMGTTAGTCATTATATTTTCGAGGTTAAAAAACTTCCTGGGCCTTCCCTACTTGATCCAACCCTCCCGAGTATGATCGTTAGTCCTCTCCAGAAATATGCTATGTAGTCGCTGCATATCATCACGGATTGCTATTGTATTACAGTGCAAGATGGAACTGAGAAAGGTCTGGGTAGGAATAAGAAGGAAAAGAGAACGCGGGAGGGTGGGAGGGGATACTCCCCTATATTCGCAATATGGGGACGTGCCGCCAACCAGAGTATCTTTGGAGGGAGTACCCAGAAGAGAACAAATACTTGTTGATGCTTATTTCAGGGGCGGATCCAGCATTTTATAAGGGGGGTTGCTTTTGTCAGTAATATATAGCTAAAGTAGATTTAAAGTAGCAGATTTAACTGATTATTTTTGTTAGCTGTGTATTGCCTACAGCAAGAAAATTATGTACAATTTGACCGGGAGCAAATTGACTACTTTTTTGACTACACTACTCAAATAGATTGTTAAGCAGCATAGTGGGTAGACACATGTCGTGTATGCTACTCGTTTTCTCGATAGAATTACAACCAGAGTATAAACAGCAATAAAAAATGTTTATACTGATATATAAAAAAATTTCGCCGTCCAAAAAGAGGGGGTGCGTCCACACCTCACCTGGATCCACCCCTGTATTTCATGTATGCGTTTTAGGTACATCCAGGATTGGATGGGTATTCTAAACAGGACATAAGGAAGAATACAAGATTTTAAGAAGTGCATAATCATGCCCCACCAACTGGGCCAACAGTTGGTTTAATACTAGTTGGCAAGGTGGCAGACATCCAACACATCAACCAAACAAATGATAAGTCAACTGTGTTGAGACACTGTGTTGAGACTGGGGAGACATTAAAAGGGGGCTAGTTTTAGTAGAAAAAAATTTATTAAAAAATGCTAAAAAAATAAACCCCATCACATTATAACTATTATAATCATTAAACAACATAACAAGTATTCACATTGATTACACTTAATCATTGAAACTTTGTCATACAAAAACAAGCAATTAACATACTAGAGGGGAATAAAAAAAATAAAATTCAATTGCCAAATACAAATACCAAAAAACATTTGTTCAGCTGCCAATATCTTTCAATTTATTCCCATTAGTGGATTTTATCATTTCTCTTGCTTGAATTTATTCCATATGACAAAGTTTTCAGTTTTCAAAATTTACTTTGATGATAAATGTGTATTCTTAATATATATCCTTCATTCCTAATACCCTTAAAAATATTAAAAATGGAACTTATACACATAATTGAATTAACGTTGTCGGGTTGAAAAAAGTCATATCATGGAAGACTACTCCAAAGAGGATTTTAATACCCAGACTAAGATGGCACTATGATAAACATGGTATAGAAATGAAGCACTACAACTTTCCTTAATTTCTGTATCATTTTAGCCTGTGTACATCCGTATCTCACCCCTCCCTGAATTTTCCCTGTAGAGGGAGGGGTGAGAAACGGATGTTTACAGGCTAGATCATGTTACATTATAGCATTACATATAGAGGTCAATTGTATTCAGGGTTTGACTTTGAAACACTGTTATACTCATAATATTTGCTTTCCCTTAATAAAACCCGACTACGGTTTAACAATTAGGTGTATATCTATATATAGTTATTTAGTAAAAATATGGTCCAATTTTTGTAGACCTCTCACTTAATCTCTTTCCCCTACTAATCTATAGCATACCTTTTTTACATTTTTTTTTGGGGTGTTTTTTTTATATGGTTAAATTTTATTACTTAAACATGATAGCAAAAAAAACGAGATAAAAATGGTTTAATCAACTTCTAGAATCTCAATGAATATATGTGCCTTCTGTGTGAATGTGGAGCTAATTAATAGCTCCAATAGCCAATAAATGAAATGACAATTACCCAAACAAGGTTTTAATTAAGTTTGTTMTTTTTATGAATTTTTATCTGGTATTTGAGCAGATTTTTTTATTGCCAAGCATGGTGTGGATCATCACATGGAAAACAAAATACCTTGATGGAAAACATTGAATTGAGAAAAAAATTAAATTGCCATAGTTTTAGATCATACAAGTTTGCTCTACATCACGGTCAATTTAAAATTAGGTAATGATATTATATAATTTAACAGGAAAACTAAAAGAAAAACAAAAACAAACAAAATAACATTAATGTCATCATCCTACAATAAACATAAACAAATATAGTGTAAAAACAGCACTAACTAAAAACCTTAATTATACTAAGTGCCTATTAACAATATTTAGTTAAACTTCAATGAGTAATGGAGGATCCAAAACGGGATCCAAATTGAAGACTTTTTTGTYTACTACATGAGTGCTGTTCTTTCAAATACAAAATTATCAAACTTGTCTCACATAGGTTAAAACAAAAAAAAAAAACAGCTGATCCCATTGCCCCACCTCTAGATCTGTCACTAGTGAGACCCACCATGTGTAGACCTGGAGTTGGGATAGGGGTAGATTACTTCATCTAAGATTGTCCTGAGTTGAAGTTGTGCCGAGCTGAATTAGAGTGTTGATTATCTACTGGAAGTGAGTTAGAAAGTTGACCATGAAAAGCAGGGAATGGTACTTGAGGTCCTGCCCGACGTTTCTTCTTACTGGCAAAGCGGATACAAACTTGACAACGGCTAACACGACTTAGATGACTTCCTGCTTTAAGTGTGTCAGGACGCTGTTGTGAGACAAACGACTTGTCAACAGTCGTTAACCAGAAGCTGTATTTGTTGGCAAAGTAGTGACATGTACCACGCCCATGACATTCAATGAAAGGATTGGGGCGGAACACTTCTAAACATGACCCAGATGACCCAAGAGATTGCCCACTTCCACTACCACCAGCCCCAGTGTGCTAAAAGTAAGAAATAAATATTAGGTGTCAAAAAAGGCAGATATAGGCTGGAACTAGATTGTATTTGAGATCATTTGAATGTTTTTTTTACATTCTTTTCCATACTCTGTCTAATGCCTTGTTTTCAAGAAAATACTACAGGAAAGCTCAATTGGTATAACAGTATACTACATACCATTAAAAAGCTGTATCCAGACCACACAGGTTTCCATGGGGATGGGCATCTTGGTAAGTCTTCACTTTGACTGTGAATAGTCAATGCTGGACCACGTGACTCACATACTACACACCGACCAATGAATGGTTCCACTGCATCAGCAGTAATAGGCATCATGGGAATCTGTCTGTCGGTAGACAGCCAGTAGCTGTAGTCATTACGAGAAGCATAATTACACTGGCTATTGATATTGCAATACAGGTATGGCATAGTAGTAAAGCGTTTCATACATGATCCTGCTGAACCTAAGTCTTGTCCATGTGATGTATCATGACCTTGTACATACAGCATACTATATCCTCGCCATAACTCAATCATATCTGGTGGACACGTAGGCGTAGTTGTAGATTGGCTGTGTCGTACTATGTAGTTACCTACAAATGCTATTGATGGCCCAGGAGGTCCTGGGGGTCCAGGAGGACCTTGGGTACCAAGTTYACCAGGGCTACCTGGATTACCAATATTACCAGGGGGGCCTTGAGGACCTGGGACTCCTTGAATGACAGATGGTAAACCAGCCACACCCACATTTCCTTTTTCTCCTTTAAAGATTCCCTTGGGACCTAAATTAAAATGTGCACTGAGAATATCTATGACTAGTTATGAAATATTGCTATTAATGAAAGTGAGAGGTATAGTCAAAAACAACTGAGCTTCTTTCCATATTATCAAAAACAAAAACAAAAAATGTTTGGCACCTAGCTCTTGAGAATGCTCTGCCAAGATTTTGATTTTTGTCTTGGCATGACCTTGGACATCTGGCATTAAACTGCATTTTTACATGCCATAGCCAAGTTGAATTGCCAAATCTATTGTGTATGTTTTGAATCTATCAAAATCCATGACTGTATTTCTCAGTCCAGTCACTCTAGTTTTTTTTAGTTCTTTTTTTATTGGATTCACTGGATAAAATGGGATGATAAGAGATGCTCGATCTGCAACATACCTAAAGGACCACGGTCTCCAGGATCTCCTGGCTGTCCAGGCTGTCCAGGATCACCAGGGAAACCTTGAACTCCTTTCTTGCCTGTGGTGATAGAATCATCTCCACGGGGACCTTGCTCACCAATGGCACCTTTTGGACCTTGTTCCCCTTTTTTACCTTTTTGACCCTTATTTCCTGCAAAAAGAAGTCATCACTTTGCATTACTGTGAATTACTGAACAGATTTAGGAATATAATATGATAACAAATAGACCACATGACTAGTGAAATACAGCTATATTGTTTAGGAATATAATATGATAACAAATAGACCACAT